GAATATTAAGGTTGTGTTTTATGTGGATGAACTGTTGGGCTTTTTCGTGTTCTATTAGGAAAAACTGTTTTCAGTTAGTTTGGTTCATGAACATTTTCAACAGGCCTCAAACCAGGTTTAAATGGTTGAAAAAGCATTTATGTGATCATACAGCATGATTGTAGCTCGCGTAAGGACCATTTTCAGGAGTTACGGTGTTTCAACCGAAAATGGTTGGAAAAGTGTTCTATTGAGAAACGTCAAGCATATCAACCCAAACTGGTTGCGATTAAAATGGTTGATCCCAATGGAACATGATGTAACACTGGGCTAAAAAATTGTCTTATCAGTTGAATCCATCCTTGTCAAGTCATCCCTTATCCATAACCCTTCCTCATCTCTGACTTTTAACTCTTACTGTTTATCTTTAAACTGTTCTCTTTCACACCACACCCATTACATCTTAATAATCTCACTCCTCACATCATATAGACACTTAAAATTATGTCTTTGGTACATGCATTACTAATGTTTGACTGTGTTTCACTGAATAGCTATTTTGTCATGATTATAGGTTAACACTTTCCTGTACGAGCCATTCATTGGCATATTGGCTTAAATCAGGTACGCAGAAGGCATGACAATCAGAGTTAGCACATACTCATTTTATAGTCATATAAAGTGACTGTCTTCAATATACTTGCATGTTAAATGTCATGTATATTGAAAAACATGACAACTGTGGGTTGTTATATGTTGCAGATGTGAAAGTCAGCCTTAAAGGCTCTTAATTTGAAATGATATACATGTATATAAACTGAGGGAAAAGACTCCCAACAAATCTTTTGGCATGAACGTGGCTACTGGCATGTACAAGGCATTAATAACCCTTTAAAGTTAAATTTTGGCATGTTAACTCTGAGCTGCTGAATCAAATTCCATAGTTTCAGAACTTACTTTTGTTGTGATGTGGCTCAAGTATTGCCTTGAAAGACATGTAAGACGAGCTAATGGAATGGTCTGCCACAATGGGCAACAAAAGTACGGAGAAAAACATATACAAAAATAACATATTTCAGTTCAATATCATTTTGACTAACTACGATGTGTTTTGGTTGCTGTGATAGTTCCTTGCAAAAGAACTTTGATTCTTGACAATAGTTGCAACCAAAAAACCTGACAGATGCTCAAACTTATAGCAATATGTGGGGAATTTAAAATAGAATACAAACTGTATAGGCAATATTTGCATACAATTTCTCTTGGATTTAAAATTTTATTCCACTTGTTAAAAAAGAACTGGAATTTAGAATTCATTTGTGATAGGTTGACATCAATTTGCTGTGGGAGGTTGCCTTTAAAGTTTTTTCTCTTTTCCTTAAATTTTGAACTACAGTTGTACATGTACATATGAAGTACACTTATCTGTGACATCTGTATTTTATTGTTAGATTCACCATTCAGATCACTTCTACCACAGATGAAAGGGAACAGGTGTAAGTTTGCAACAAAAACAGAAACTGAGGTAGTTACAATTAATTCTTTAATTTTATCAGTTTATTTAGAATGATATCTTTATTTATTTAGAATGATATCTTTATTACAACCTTCTTGTTAATAAGACTGAGTTTTGGTGCTTGAAATAATGTAAAAACCTACCCTGTAGATATCAACCAAAATCTGCTGCAACCTCGCAGGATCAAAAAAAAATACAATTTTCAAAATATTTATCTGCACATTTACATTTGTTTTATACTGTTACTGACAGTATACTGTAGACTACATTCCACTCTTTCTCTGATTGGTTGAAAATCATGTTTTATCATATTGCTGTTGAACTGATTTAATAAGGACACCAAGGAGACATAGTTGAGTGTTAATGTACTCCATACTCTAGAGGTAGAGATTATCCTTTGAATTCTGGTTTCTCTGGGACAAACTGTCCATGCTGAACTACTTTTTTCCAAATTTAACTTATATCGTGAAGTAAGTAATGAAGCCACAGCCATATGTTACATTGTTTGTCAAAAAAGAAACAATCTAGTTAAAATAATAAAGTGTATCATCGTTTGTCTCATGATGTAGTCACTTGAGATGTAGATCGCGATCTATATCTCAAGTGTCTACATCATGAGACAAATGATAATACACTTTATTATTGCATGTACCACAATGAATAGCAACGACCTTTTCCTCGACAACAATCTAGTTGTTGGGAACAGTCAAGAAATGTCGAAACTTGTGTCACTCTTTCACTTGTGTGTCACTCAATTCAAAGTTTTTCTCATTTCTCATTCTTGACAGTGTAAAAGTATGGCTTCTTTATTTTTTACTCTAAAATCCCAAGTTAAAGCCTTGGCTTATATAACTTCATTAAGGGGTTTTTGGAGAGGGCTCATATGCAGGGGAGGGGGGGGGCATATAAGCAAAAAAAAAAAAATGTTTTGGAATGATGAGATAAAATGTATCTTAGAAACGAATTAAAGTTAACATACCATTGCATTTAGAACTATTACCCTACTACCCTATAACTCTATTATTGCCCTATTACCCTGTTAGCCTATAACTTTCAATTATTAAAAATTTTGTTGTTTGTAAAGAAATGTAAAAGGAATACACTTTTACATTAGATGGGCATATATCCAGGAGGGGCTTATATCCAGGATAATATCTTTGTTAGCAAATAGAAGGGCTTATATTCAGAGGGGGGGGNTATAACCAGGGGGCTTTAACATAGCCTGCAGAACATGCATAATCTTTTTGTGTATTTTAGGTGAACAGAAGCAAAAGGGAGGCAAAAAAGGGAGGGGGAAAAGAAAGGCGAGCATGAAGCGCAAGTTGTGCGCAAGGGGAAGAGCAGGAAAAAAAATGGGATTTTATGGTCTTTGTTTAAATGGACTTTTAGTTATAATTACTTTGAATCATTTGTTATTATTAATATTTCAACAATACTTAATTTATTGTCTTGACAGTCGCAGGAAAGTCCCCTGGCATATTCCAATTTGCTGATCAAGCTAGAAGGTTTGGATGATGGTGTTCTGGATCATTACTGTCAGTTTGTAATCAGTGCATGCAAGATGATGAAACTACAAGTTAACAAGAAGTATGTTCACTTGTTATTAAGTATTGCTTAATAATGTATAAGGTTTACTGTAGTTTGCTACTCTCTCTTGAACCATGAAGACTAGACATTTGTGTTTATTTACTTATTTAAAAGTGGAGCTCCTGTGCACCTATGGCGTGCAAGCGGAGCCTCATACCTAACAAAATTTGGTAACCCATTGATCTAAAACATTTGGTTGTCAAGTGACTGGCTGTACGTCCGTCTGTCTGTCCAATTGGATCGCAGACTCAAGCCAGGATATTACTGTGGGGGAAAAGGAGGGAGTACATGTACATGCAGAGGCAATATTTCAGCGCACAATTTGACCCCTGGCTTGCACAATCATCTCTTATTGAGATGATTGGAAAGTTCCTAATATATTGCATATGTAATGTAATTTTACAATCTTGGAAACTGGAAAAAAAAATAGTGAAACCACATGCTGAACAACAATATATATATATGCTCACAATTGATGGGGTACATGGAAAAAGACCCTAAGTGACATCTGATAGACTGCAAGATTCTCCTAGAAAATCACCTTTCACTTCCTTGTACAAAAAAGGAGAATTTGACATGAGATCAAGAGTTGCACTCCTCCAGCTGATCCAAGAGAAAATTTTTTTTTTTTTATGGCAAACTTATTGCAATTAGGAGCCCAACTTTTAGGCTTGGCTATCATACTCTTAATTGCATTTTTGTGATGATTATCCTATGAGGGTATTGCATGTTCTGTGTTAGCAAGAGGATTTAGCATTTGTACAGTGTAAGATCACTTATCCTTTTCTTTATTATATTTATGAAGAGCCCCTTTTAAGTAATAATAAAAAAAATTCACAAAAAATGTGTCCATGGTAATCACACGTTTCTTATGGGTTGTGAGCTAACTACTGCCCTTTCGTTGCTACCATCAGAAAACCTGTTTGTGGAATATAATTTCATGATGCAGCTTTTTACCTTGAGCAGTTTTTGTTGCCTTTAGACCTTGAGAATTGCAGTTCTACCAAATTTGTTGTTTCAATGCAATAATATTGAGTTGTGGTGTAAATTCACGTTTGGTTTAAAATAATATTGAAACATAGTTTGAAGTTACATGCAGATTTCTCAAACTCATTAACAATTCATCAAGTTTCAACAAAGGAAATCATGACCGTGATGGTGTTTGGATATCTGATCTTAATTAGTATAGATTTTTACGAATTTATTTCTCCGTTTTCTCCTTAGTTTTAGTTTCGATTCAGAAGATACATCAAACACTCAAGACCGTGTTTGACCACATTTCCAAACACCTCAAAGTTCGTCAAAAATACTTCGCTGCGCGTCATATTTTCCACTCTCTTCTCGGTGTTTGGAAATGTGGTCAAACACGGTCTTTTGTGTCTGATATATTACATAACAGTGAGCACAAGACAAAGGAAAATAAATAAAACTGGTCTCAAACTGGGGAGGTACATTGGTAGGAAATACAAAACAGTAACTTCATTTTACCAAACAAAACCACTTAAGCTTCTGCAGGAAAAAAATCATGAAATTTGAAAGAAAACAATTGAGCTGTCAGGTGGAAAACACAACTTTAGGGTACCGAGCACACTTCCTCCGATTCAAATCACTGTTATCTTCATCTTGTAAATCTGTCAAAAGGTTATTAGTGCAGTCATCAAATTTTCCATTTGTATGCTCCTTGCAGTGAAGCTGTAGCAAAACTGCAAAACTAGATTTCCTTGTGAGCAGGTTCTTCCTGGAAATTTTGAAACTTAATACATGCAAAATACAGCTCCTGAATTTTCAGGAAATAAAGTACATGTGAAAATTAGTAAGAATTAAGAATAAGGTACTGATTGTACATGTAATCTTTTAAGATTCAACCTTGTAACAGAGAACTTCAGTCAAACACTGGCCTTCCCTCCAGACAGCTACAAAAAAGGCAATGTGACATACCATTTTAAGAAACATGGCCGGATGATACAGGTCAGTGTCACAGGAAATTTCAGAATACCGCAATACATATTATATACACGTGTTGCCCGTAATAAAATCTCATTAACTACCGCCATTAATTAATGTCCTGGACAATAATTTATTTTATTATATGACTTAGCTCCATGAGCAGGCAAAGTTAACCAAATCCTGTGCCGTGATTGGCTACCCGAGCAGACAAGATGGCGATATGTTGCCCGCTTGGGACTACCCACTGTGTCCCACCAGAAAAATTCCCCCGAAAGCCATATTACAAATCCTTTATTGACCAAGCTTGTACGGTCAAGATGGCTGGATATCGGCTTTGTTCTTTTTGAATGCGGGTTTATGGACTGAGACTCTGTCCCATATTTTTATATGTCTAAAACATAGTTGTAGTCATGGTGTTCATGTATGCCTCGTCATGATATCAACTCCTACATTGCATCGTCTCCTATCCCCCCAGGAGAATGAATTTTGTTCTCCTGGGGGAATAGGCCAGGAATCAAATTACACAAAGCTATACAAAGAGAATAAATCGTTACACAGTCACCCTCCTCTCTGTAAAAAGGTATTATTCCAGGTACTTAAAATGAGGACAATACCTTGTCAGATTCACACAAAGGCCGACAATATGTCATTTGCATTTAAGTATTTACCTTTCGCTACTTACAACGCAGAAAAACATGATTGTTATGAGAGTTGTGGAAAAATTGATAGCCCGTGTGAAGGATTTGTTGGCATAACTTGTGTTCAGTATCCTTGGTGTTTACATTGTATTCCTGTACACAGGTTGCACAGCTTCCAGCAGAGAAGTCAGATATCTTCATTCAGTATTTACAAGATAACATCCCTCCAGGTGTATCACTACACATGGAGCTGGTAAGGAAAGATTTCCAACTCGTTTGAATTTCTTTTACACTTAAAGTAAAGAAAAGTAAAGTAAAGTAAAACTTTGTTTAGCCGGGTGGCCCATTCAGCGTTGCGGCTGGCAACCAGAGGGGCCCTGGTAATAAATATTACAATCATAAACATTGCAAATATACATAGGTAAAAAATCGAATTTACAGTCCACTCCCGATAACTCGATTCTCGCGTTAACTCGAAGCAATTTTTGTTTCCCTTCAGGTCATTTTCTATATAATTTTACCCTCTGTAACTCGAACCATGAGCATGAGAGCTTTGTACCAGTAGCCAGTACCAGCAGCCCTCCATTGTTCTCTCTAAAAAACCTGCACCGTTCACAGTTCCTGGGCTTCTCCCTGTTGCTTTCCTTTGTTATATTTTTCACATTACGCTACGTTCCGATTTATACAGTAATTTAGAGATGTATGGTTTTATTTTCACTGGACTTCTCTATTCTGTAATTAAATTTGATTAAAATGTACACTGCATGAATGGAAAAACATTTTAAAAACACCGTTGTATTCCTTTTTCCGGTCATTTGTTCTCAACTCCCTATAAGTCGAACCTTTTTCAATTTCCCTTGAAGGTTCGAGTTATCAGGAGTCGACTGTATATTTAATAAGAAGCTAGGGAAATACAGGTATATGCTAAAAATGCTAAAATTTTGAATTTTTGTTGGCAGAGAATTAAAAAGCACTGACCTTCAGGGCACTATATGATAATTGTTATGTCGTTTATATTAGTATCAACTGGCAAACCTCGCAAATAATTGAAATCGGATTGAATCATCTTTTCTATTTTTTTCGTATTGTTTTATTCTGATTGACACCTAGTACATGAACACAAGATAAGAATGTGTGGGAGAACAAGGTGTTTATAACAAATACACACTTACCTTTTAGACATCTCAAAAACATGACCCTCATTGTTTTTGGAGGAAGTGTCAAGTTGTAAGGTTCTGGTCTACTAAAAAGTCACAGTTTCAAGCTCTCTATCCAGGGGCCCGTTTCTCGAAAGCCCGGAAACTCCTCAGGCCCGGAAAGCCATTTTCCGTTCATCTGTATCTAAAACAGAAAGGTGTGTACGCCTGAAACTTCTTGTATGCAAGAAGACAACTTCTGATCATATTAAGAATACGTGAATAAAACAGCTCTGTAATCATAAGGTTTGAGATTTTGCTATGGCTTCCCGGGTGCGAAAACTTTCGGGA